GAAAACTAAGAGGCAAAATTGGGGGTACAGTTTTAATACCTGGATTCTGCAATTAGATATATTAGTATGTTTATTTTCAAAATTGTACAAGTACTGTACAGTACTGTGTTTTATTTATGTAGGGAGCCTCGTTGGCTCTGAAGCTAGCATACTGTACTGATAAAATGCCACACTACTTTGGGTCATCAGTCGTAGTAGTGTTCTATGCCTACCAGGGACCACAAGCCAGAACCTGACCCCCTCACAGAGGTGCTGGGAGCAATGGCTCATGAATACCTTAATTGTAATGTTTTGTCATTTTTCTGCAGACCAGGGAAGCACCCATAAATGTAGGCAATTCAAAACAAACTGACTGGTTGAAAAATGCGACCTGTGCCCTCAACATATCAAAAGAACTCCGATCACACACTGAAAACAAACGAGCAAAACTTCATCCAACTAACGGAGCTCGTTAGCGCCCCCCCCCCTGGGTGGGAGGAGAGCTAGCCTGGATGAGCCATGCCACCACCAGTCAGTTCTTGATTGATGTGCCTGGCAGTTGCTCTGGCCACGATTTCATGCTTTTAGGAATGCCTTGTGGCCTGTAGGCCTGTGGTGCCAGCAGGCAGGTAAGAGGTGTCCCCGGTTTTGTCTTCGTCTGGTTGATGCGGTGTTCGCCCTGCACGTAATACGGGCTCTCTGGATTCGAGTTGGCCTTTTCACAGGCCGATGGGGAGGAGGCTGGCTCTATTTGCCCATACCTGGTCCCATGATTCGTGGGCTTTTCGGGTGGTCTCTTGCGGCCTTCAGTGGCGTTGGGCAGCCCATCATCCTTTCAGGGGGGGTAGGGTCTTTTGGGGCAGGCCTCTTCTCCATCTATCCGTTGAGTCATCTCGGTTAGTTTGGGCGTGGTCGAAATGTGTCTTCGGTGGGTTTACCACCTGTTTCCGGTCCCACAACAGAGGCAATGGGCCTCTGCATAGAAAATAAGCTTATGTAATCAGTTTTGGAACAAGGGTCTGAAGAGCCATGTATTTAAAGTGCCTGCCTTGATGAAGTTCACTCTGGTAATAACAAATTTCATAGCTTCCTTTAGTCCAGGAATAAGACCTTTGATGGCCAGGGCTTGGTGGTGAATCATACAATGTGCTGACAGAATTTTGGGGTTGTTGCTTTGTATGAGAAATATCCTATGAACACACACCCTACATTGAGGGAGCACCATCACTATTAATTCCCACAAATTTTCTTTGTAAAACATGCTTAAGTAGCATTGAATGTCAATTCCTTTACAGGTCATTTTTAAAGGCTTGTAGAGCAGAGGATCTTGTTCAGTCGTGGTTCAAACTTATGACAGACATAGACCATCCATGGTTTTGTCCAGTTGAATGGGAACTTATCACTGATTTGTAAGCAAATACGTTATGCCTTTGATTTCAGTTTGGCGACTAACAGTATAATATGACAATGTACTGCTGCCACATTTTGTGCTTGTTCAGACTCACATATTATTTCATTGCTGGAAAAAACAGTTGGCTGGATGAATATTCCCTTATTAATAGTGTGGCATCTTTGATTTTGCAATCTGGTAAGCCACTTCAAAGATTGCTTTTGCCATAACCTTTTGATTGAATGTTTATTTGGAATCCTTGCTGGTAATTCACTGCTTCTTTATAATCCCTTCTAAACACTGACAATATGATGGAACGTTGGACAACAATGTTTAATGTTTCCACTTCAGATGGTGTAACTTACTCTTTTATAATGACTTGGTGCACACAGTGTCAGAACACACAACATAATGTGGTTTTATCACTTCCTTGTCTTCAATATTGGTGAAACAGTGCTCTATGAAGTCTGGCACATTAGTTTGTTAGTGTGCACTCATTCTGGGTAAGAAAAAATATGACAATTAGGATTTGAATATCTTCTGTTTCAGACTGAGGGAACAAGATCAGCTGCTATGGTATTGGTTTACTAAAATGTATGCAGGGGCAGTGATAAATCATGAAAGCAACAAATAGTGAGAGTTACCATATAGTGAGGTGTAGGTGTAAATACCATTCTGTTTTCAACAAAATGGGACCCACACACAGCCAGCTAATACATACCTCTCACCACCACAGCTAGCAACACATGGCCCCAAGTCTCGAGTTTCTGCTAAGTATTGGTGCACACTTTACTTTTATGATAAATTGTAATGTGTATTCCAAGGTGTGATATGATCCCCCCCAAAAAAAACACTTTTACCCTATTTTGGGTAATTTATCTTGGTTTGAAGAGCACTTGTGTATCGAATACAGGTTACCCGAACCCAAATGGGGCACTGACCATCAGAGTCTAATAAACATCCAGGAGTGTGAAAGTCAAAAGGGTAGTGAGGCCAAAAACAGCACTTTAAACCCCTGAAGATACACGCTAGGGAAGGCGTATGGTGCCTCTGAATTAAACTAAGAGAATCCTTATTCATCGCCCAATCAGAAAACCTTAAAGTGCAAAGTAAACCTATAAACAATGCATAACTAAGCATGAATATTTTCATTGGTTTTTAAGTAAACGGTGAAGTTAATCAACTCCCATCAACAGGTCTGGCTAAAGGAGCAAGTCTCGAGCACTGCCTAGACTGTGGTGCAACTCAAGAGGAGAAACTCCAGAGAGGAGGACACTTGAGCCCTTTAGAAAAAATGTAACTGTTTAGAAACTAGAAAAGCACGCCAACACCAGGCAAGATAACCCCCCAAAAATCAGGGTAAACAAATCAGCTAAGGACACTCAAGATAAGAAGCATAGACAGTTATAAAACATAAAGAAAATGAAATAACAAGTATGGCCTCCTGTGGGACTTCAAAATCCCGAAGAATGCAAATCCCATTTAGCTTAAAAAAAGTGTGTCCTTGCAGAGAAGTACATAGTGGAGTCTTTGATACGAAGCATGCGAGTGAGCTAAGTAGGCAGTTTGAATCCTTGGGTGACCTGAAATGCTATCTGGTTTTGTGCTTGAATATTAGTGCATGGTTTGATGACAGTGGGCAAACTATTGCTTTCCTTGTTAATAACTTTTCTCTCTTCAATCAAGATACAGTACATTTTGTTTTGCTTGTATTCTGTGGGCACTTTTACTAGCTTGTAAGGTTGATCTCCGATTTCCATGCTTTACTATAAGCACACTGGGTACTGGTCTTGATGTTTGATAGTTATGCAAGCCAAGAGGCCTGGTAATTTTGTGAATATCTCGTGATGCCAGAGCCAGAGCTCTCCAGAGTACTGGAAAGCTACTGAGGGCCAGCCAGAAAAAAACTGATAATCTATCATTGATATGACTGTATTGGTACATAATCATATCATTGCAGTGAATAGTTACATATTTATTTATACGGATAAGGTATGAAGGTGAAGTACATTTTTGTATGAAGTGGGTGGGGTAATGAAAATCCTGGCTAGGTCAAATAATTTAGGAAGAAAGAGTGGTGGTGAATAACTTTATGCATGGATGCTGGTGTAGCATGAACACGAAGAATCAAATTGATGTAGCAATGAAAAAATGGGAGGGTCTAGGTAAAATTTATCCAAGATACATTTTTGGTGTTTGAAGGATTGACTGAGGAATTAAACTGTCATAGAAAGATACTGAATGAATGAATTATAATAAAGGTGTTAAAGTGTGAGTGAATTTGAATGTAACCCTTAGATAGCGGCTATGGAGAAACGGTCATACCTGCTTATGCATAAAAAAAAAATCATTATAGAATTAATTTGTATGCAGAATATTAGAAAACACTAAAATAAGTTAATTTCTCATTTCACTGGGGGGGAGGCACTCTGTACGTCTGCATCTGGAACATGTTAACGCCTGGTGCTCGATTTTGTGGAAGCTTACCGATTTATTTTCTGATGTTTTGCCGAAGGTTTTATCACTTGTTTTTCTTTATTTACATCCACAGAGCACTTTTATATCCATATTTACATCACACATGTAAAACCTAGACAATAATTGTTTAAATAATCAAATGAGAGCAATTCCCTAGTAGTATTCTTGACGATAACTGCATTTGTACCATGAAGTGGTCGCAGGATTTGTTCATGGGTCTAGGTAAACTCCATCGCGTCCACATAGACCTATTATATCCATATTTGCATCATACATGTAAAACACACAATCCTTTTTTAAATCATCATATGATAACTGCATTACCCTGTGAATCAACAATTTAGGATAACTGCTGTCCAAGGGTTAAAGGAGGAGAGGTATGCAAAGATGATGAGCAAACATTGATTGTATGTGGAATTGTTTGGAGTAACCCTTGGACTGGTCAGCTGTTTAAAAGTGCTACACTGTAGTGTACTTAACACAAACAAACAAGTAATGGGGAGGGGGGGGGATTTGTATATGGTGATTTGTGCACAGGAGGTAATCACATAGATTGGAGCAGTGTAAAGGTTGTCTGTGTACAGTGCGTAAGAAGTTTCTAAAGGGAATCAAGTTAATCTTTTGGCCATGGAACTTTTGCTTCAGCCTCAGTTTTCTCTTGGGGCTAAATTATGGTGAGAAAATTAGATTTTTCATGTGGTACCATTTAAAAAATAAAAAAAATTTTTTACGAGGGAGGCAGTTTGCAAATCCCTGTAGAAAACATGCGCGCTTATATTATAATACAAACAATAAGTATAATATACTTTTCAAGGATTATTAATTCTGCTCCTTTTAACCTACCTTACCTTGAGGTGCTTCCGGGGCTTAGCGTCCCCGTGGCCCGGTCATCGACCAGGCCTCCTGGTTGCCGGACTGATCAACCAGGCTGTTGGACGTGGCTGCTCGCAGCCTGACGTATGAGTCACAGCCTGGTTGATCAGGTATCCTTTGGATGTGCTTATCCAGTTCTCTCTTGAACACTGTGAGGGGTCGGCCAGTAATGCCCCTTATGTTTAGTGGAAGCGTGTTGAACAGTCTCGGACCTCTGATGTTGATAGAGTTCTCTCTCAGAGTACCTGTTGCACCTCTGTTTTTCAACGGGGGTATTCTGCACATCCTGCCATGTCTTCTGGCAGACCTACATTAGTTTGTGGTTTTTTATTTTATTTTTTATATATCAGATTAAAATTTCTTTATATTAATACTTTGCATGGCCCAGTGTGCGCGCCCCAGCCCACCCCAAGGTCTGCCTGGCATATTCCGTAAGCGTACACCCACACTAAAATGCGTGTGCTCTTTTCAGTTTTCTCACCTCAATTTTCGTGCTAAGTCGTTCATTTTGGTATCAAATTGTTCAATAGAATTCCCTAAAGGGATACTGTATATGTATAAAAGGTCAAAAAGCCTGGCGTGCCCCCGCAGCAAACCTGAAAATCGGCCAAGCATTACCCGTGAGCGAGCACCCATCCGCAACACCTGCACTCAAATGTTGATAATCTTTTATTTTTTTTCAGTTTTATCACCTAAATTTTTGTGTTGCGTTGTTCATTTTGGTATCACATTGTTTGCAATAGAATGCTCTAAAGGGATATATGCATACAAGGACAAATGAAAGAACAACATTACCAATACCATAAGATAAAGTATATCGTCATGTCAAAAAACAGCTTTTTGTCATTATTTGAATGTAATACATGAATTTTCTAACTTTTATTAGAATGTCTTGATTGTCTTTGGAAATGACATTATTGTTATGACTATGAAAATACTTTGAAATTAATTCATATAGTTTTGCAGTCATAAAAGTATTGAATGAAGGTACATGCCACAATTTACCTGTTTGCCAGTACATTCTCATCATTGGCATCTTCACAATGCCCATCAACATTGTCATTTCCAAATATCTGGCAAGCTCTTTTACTCTCACTTCATCTCACTCATTGTTAGTGTTGTTAGAAACATTGGACATGCTTTGTGTTAAAAGTTTGCTTCATATACCATAAATGTCAGCAAATCTCTGTTAAAATCCCAGAGGAGTGCTTGGTACTGGTATAGTCAAGCCTGGTGGTCCAGTAAAACTGTCTACAAATGGTGTAGTGTTGTCAGTAGACCAGGCTTCACCAGAACTGGTGTGTGGGGTACATGCGGTATGAGTTCTAATAGCAGGCCCTGCACGTGCAGTGGTATCATCACCACTCCCCCTCACTTTTTCATCCTCACCTGCTGTTTCTTTTAAAACACGTCCCATAATTATCAGAAAAAATGAATTTTACCAAATATTTTAATTTTGGACGCAACATGCGTCCCTGCCGGACATCCATAGTTATTTATGGATGCCATATCTGTCCCCGCCCACCGAAAGTGTTAATTAATCGTTATAGCATTCGTAATAGTGAATGATTTCTGAACAGGGGGGGGGGGGGCAAAAGTGTGTGTACAGTATATATTGCATAGATTTAGATCCACTGTACTTGCTTCTGTTGAGAGCTCGTTCACCATTACGTGTGCTATACAGTACTGGTAATGCTACTACATTTTCCATCTATATTGCTGCTATTTACCAATCTAGCTCCTGATTCCTACTGTTTTTGTCCAGTGTTTTAATTTCACCAGAAGCTAGTTGATAAATGCTGATTATGGTTGCAATATTTGAAAGAGTATACAGTATTTTTAAATATAAAAATTATTTTATACTATTTCCATATTGTTACCTTAGCTATTCCTATTCTATTCCCTAATTTATTATTTCCTTAGTTTTTGGTGTGGATTTGTCCTGTTTTCCCAAACTTGGAACACCCTTTCCTTTATTTGCAACTTTTAGGACCTACTTTCGACTGTTTCCTTCAAAGTTTTAATTTCCTTCAAAAATCTCACCAGAGATAGTTTGACATGGTGATTAATCCCGGTACTGTGGATGCCCGATTGACTGTGAATGCCTAATTGACTGTGAATGCCTAATTGACTGTAAATGCGTGACTGCCTGTAAATGTTTAACCAGTTGCTACCACAACAGTGAATGCTTGAGTGCCTTTGGTTATGACTGCCTGTGACTGGTCTTGACTGACATATTGTGACTGACTTGTTCTGACTGCCTGCCACATAACTGTGGCAGTGAAATGTGTGAAAGGAAAATCTGGAACCAGTGATGCAGATATGAAAGCATTTAAGGCGAGCAGGGGATGGTCTCACCACCACTTCCCTCCTCCTCACCCTCCACATACACCAACACCGCTCCTCCCTCCCTCCTCCCTCCCTCCTCCCCGTCTCCCATATGCCAAAGAGCGTCCTCAGTAAAGGTAAAGTACAGGTAAATGTTTACTTATTTTATTTATGGTATATATTTATTCCTGATTATTTTGTGTATGAAAAATGATTAGTATTCTGTATACAATGTATTTTTAAGTTACTGTACTATTTTTGGGTGTGTGGAATGGATTAATTCAATTTACATTAGGAGTACAGTATTTCTTATGGGAAAATTTGTTTAGAGTTACGACCTGTCTCTGGGAACGGATTAAATTCATAAATGGAGGTTCCACTGTATATTATTTGGTTAGAATGTATTAGCTTAGATTATGCTGTGTCAGGCTCAATTGGGTAAGAGTAGGTTTTGTTTGGGTAAGATTAAGTGTGATTGCATCAAATCTAAAATGCATTGGCAAACTCTTGCATGTACAGTACAATATAACACATACTGTATCTGTGGAGACAAACACCACAGTCAACATTTTCTCATGCCCAGACTAGACACATTGTGCTTTCTTGGAACTTTTTTAAGGAAAATATCTTTAACAATGGCTGATAGAAAGCGTAAGTGTGTGTATACTTCACCAGTGCCAAGGAAAAGGCAACCCATTACCTTAGAGAAGATGTTCAACATATTAAGAGCTTTAAGAGGGATGAAAAAATGGAGGCTGCAAACATTTACCGAGTGAACTGCTCAACAATTGGAACAATTTTTAAAGACAAAATACAAATTTTAGAGCCAGTGAAGGCTTCTGCTCCACTGAGAGCGATGACAACAAGGAAAAGACCATTTGATTTGCGAGATGGAAAAGTTAACATTGTGGATTGAGGACCAGAATTGTTGAAATCCAATCAGCTTGATACATATACAGGAGAAAGAAAGAAGTCTTTCTGATGATTCAAAGAAGAAATCAGGTGAAACTGAGCAATGAAACATTCCTGGCCAGTTGTGGATGGTTTGATAGATATGGGGGTAGGACAAAACAATTCACAGCACAGGGGCATTTAAGCTTGTACTGTATATGATGCATTGGCAATTTTGGACGAGCAAGACAACAATGCTGAGAGATATCAAAACGTCTAAAAATGAAATTACTGGGTAAATGATCTTACACCCTACAAACAAATTTACCTGGAATACTTTGAGAAAATATTTCAAAATATAGAAAATACTTTGAGAAAATATTTCATGACAAAGTCTCAGTCCAGCCCAGTAATCACCTCTTAAAAAGTCGTTATTAATTGCCTCGACAATCTTTAAGAAAAAGTCTGAGTTAAAACCATCAACTTCTACAGCAGCTTGTGACAGTAATGATGACTCACAGGTGTTTGTCACCTAGTGATTATCATTTCCCACATCAAATAGAGCCAGTGACACTGAAAATGACCAGCCACCTTGTGCCACGGCACATCTCCTCCATCAACTCCTTTAATATGCTGTTTTTCTGTGGAGAGCCCCTTCGGCTCCCCGGAGTTATACCGGGCTGATGTGTATGTATTAGACCGTGGCAACAGTCAATCGAAGGAGTTCTAAGCCTACCGGGGACCAGAGCCAGAACCTGGCCCCCTTAAGAGAGGCACGAGGAACAATGGCCTAAAGACATCCCCATGTACTTGGAAGCAGTCTTTGTCTGCCATCTACCAGGTCTGGCACCCAGAAAGGTAGGAATTTCAAAACAAACTACTGCTGGACAAAAAATTGCAAATCGAAAGCAAAAAAGCAAACGGAACTCCCCAATCAAAAACCGGGAAACAAACATGACGTCACCACAACCGCTGCGCATCCGTCTGCACAACCACCCCCCTTCCCCAGGAGGGGGATGGGGGGTCCCAGACCTCCACGCTGGCAATTCTCCCCAGTTCAAAGGCTGTTGTAATAGTGAATGGTCGATCACTCTGGCTCCACTCTTTGCGCAGTGCTGCAGTGCGGTGGTGGTGTTCTGTATTGGTGGTGTGTGAGCCAGGAGTAACACAAGAGTACTGGGGCTGCATGCACCTAGGGCTACCTTCACTAGGTGCCCCGTGAGTATTGCCTTTGCATCTTCAGGGTTATCTTCCATGACCCGTTCAGGAGCAGCTACCTCCGTGTGATTCTGTCGCTGCTCTGTGATTGCCGCTGGGGGGTTCAGCTGGGGAGGTTCTTACTCCTGTGTGCCCTTGGGTAGGAGGTAGTTTGTCATTGGCTGGGGCGCGAAGTACTGTGCAGCTGTCTGATTTACTCATAGCGACCGGTTCTGTTCACCCGGAGACATTGTTCTTTTGTGGCATTTTTCTTTTTTTTGTTTTGTTTTGTCTGGCGGGGGTCTGCCAGGTGTGGCAGTAGGACCACTAGTAGGTTTTTGGTGGCCCTCCACTAGGTCCCCGTGCTTGCACACATTGCAGGGGTTCAGCTTTTAGATTGTTTGCTTGGTTGCTCTGGGATAACTGGTTAGCAGTACCTCGCCTGGGCTTCCCTCAGCAGTTAGCCTAAAGGCCCTGGAAACCCCCATTGGGGCTCAGTGGTACAATGTAGGAGACCTCCGAGTTCCACCTCGCCTTGTGCGAGTTGGAAGGTTGCTCTGTCCCCCTGTCTCAGAGTGACACTCACCGTCTGCCTCCGCCTTGCTGCCTGTTGAGGGTCAGCGATACCTATGACCTGGAGTCCTGTGAGTGGTGGTCTTTGCTTGTTCTCCAACTCCCTCAGTCCACTGAGACTGATATTCGGGTGCAGGCAGGTTTAGCGTTGCATGCGTGGTTTAAGTTACAGCAACGTGCGAGGTTGGTTGCCTTTCCGGATGCCCCGCAGCTGCCCCGCTGAATTGTACTGGTAGTGAGAATCGGGCGGCTTCGGGGATTGCCCCTCCCGGACTGGCGGCGGAGGCATTCGAGCCTAGTCCTCCTGCCGGAGTTTTTGAGCCACGCCAGCGGGCCCCCCCCTTCATCCCTGATTTTCCAGTGGTCTCTGTTTTTTCTCCAAAGGCAGAGGGTTTGGAGGACGCCTCGGCCCCGGGTCCTGACGTGGAAGATTCTGGGGATGGGGAGGAGTTGACTTAGTGGGGCCTGGGCTCCACTGGTCCCTGCTTGGGTCCTTGGTACCCTCGGTGCGGGGCTTGTTGTTACAGGGGGAGGGGTTTTCCCATCCCCCTCCCCGTACGATTTTGTTATGAGTTCGACTCCTTCCCGGGTTCGGTTTAGAGTTCCCTTGGGTTCTTCGATTCCTTCCTTCTGGAGGTTTTTGGCTTCCCGCATCCCACTGAGGAAGGTGTGGGAGGCCCCTTGCGGCTTACCTCCTGCGAGACCCGGATTACGTCTCGATATTAAAGCCTTCTTTTTGAGTTTGGCTCCTCTTTTCCTTATTGGATGCGTTACAAGGTGCTGGAGTCTTCCTGGCTGGCAGACTGCTTTTTCTTCGTGGGGGGGGGGGGGACTTGGCATTCATCCTGTTGGACTGCGCACTTGAATAATGATGAGTTGCCTACGGTCGTTCAGGTTTTCCTGAGGCTCGCGCTGTTTGCTCTCGCCTGTTCACACAATTCGTAGGCATTTCGGGTTGTTTCCTTCAGCTTGCCGTGGCGTTGGGTCGCTCCTCCTTCGGGGGGATTGGGGCTGGCAGGGCAGGCCTCTTCTCCTGTGCTCTGTCAGGTCATCCGGGAGTGGGTTCGCTTGGGTGTGGTCGAAACGACAACTTCCCTCAGGTGGGGTTTCCCGCTTGTTTTTAATTCCGAAACGGGACTGTGCGGATCTGTTATTCATACTGGACTTGGCTAGTCTGGATCCCTGGGTCTTTTGCGCCTATTTTCGGATGACCACTCTGTCTCAGGTCCGGCTGCTTTTGGCGCCGGGTGCCTGGATGGTGTCTCTGGACCTCCGGGACACGTATTGGCATGTCACGATTCATATGGGGTTCGGGGACCGACTCGGTTTTGTCGTTGGGCAACAAGCTTTCCACTTTTGTTGCCTTCCATTCGGCTTGAATCTGGCACCTCGAGTGTTCACATGCTTTACCTGGGTCATGGTGACCTGTTTGCGTCTGTTAGGGGTTCAGGTTCTGGCTTACCTCGATGACTGACTGGTGGCTGGTGTGGACTCCCAGCCAGTCTGTGATGTCTGCTCGCCAAGGATATGGTTCTTTCCCAGCTCTCCAGGTTTCGGTTCTTGGTGAACTGGAGAAAGTCGCATTTGGTTCCCTCTCAGGTTCGGACTTGGCTGGGTCTTGTGTGGGACTCTTGGACTGCTTCCTTGTCTCTCCCTCCTGCGACGCTGTTGCGGTTGCGGTCCCTCCTCTGGCTGTTTTTGGAGGGCACCCGGGTCACACGTTGGTTGTTCAAGTGGCTGTGCGGGAGCCTGAACTTCGCTGTGCTGGTCTACCTATTGGGTAGGATCTGGCTTCGGCGGATGTTCTGGTTTCTTTGGGGTCGTCCCTTTCCCTGCTCTCGCGATTGATGGGTTTGGATCCCAGGAGCCTTGCACCGGCTGTGGCGCCTCCCCGAGCCCTCGCTCGATGTGTTCACTGATGCCTCGTCTCTCGGCTGGAGTTTTGTGACAAGTGCTCACCAGGCCGGCCAGGATCGGTGGAGTCCGTCCTTCCGTCAAGCTCACAGCACGGTGCGGGAGTTTGTGGCGGTGTGGCATTCGCTTCAGAGGATTCGATCCGGCTCCATTTGGACTGCTCCCCGGTGGTTCATTCTTGAACCGCGGGGGTTCGATGCAGTCCTTGATTCTTTGGGACTGGTCGCTTCGGGTGACTTCTCAGCTGAGTTCTCGGGGTTTGGCTCTCCTGGCGGTTCAGGTTCAGGAGGGTGTCAAACGTCCTGGCGGATGGCCTGTCTCGGTTCATTCCCCTTTCCACTGAGTGGACGGTCGACGCCGACTCGTTCAGTTGGCTCTGCCGGATGTATGGGCGCCCAGAGGTGGACCTCTTTGCATCGGCATGGTTGAGGCGTCTTCCAGTTTATGTGGCGCCCTTCCTAGACTGCAAGACCGTCAGGGTCGATGCCTTTCGGCTGGACTGGTCAAGGTGGAGTTATCTGTACCAATTCCCTCCGGTCCAGTTGTTGCTCTGGATCCTGGCTCGGTTGGAGACTTACCAGGAGAGAGTAGTCCTGTTTGTGCCTTGGTGGCTGGGCCAGCCTTGGTTTCAGGTGCTTCTTGCTCGCTGTCCGAACCCAAGGGTCTTCCCGCGGCTCCGCCTCTTTCAGCAGATCAGTCCTGTCTGGTACGTGGCTGGTTCGATCTTCTCCACTCTTCGCTTCTGGTTTTTTTGACACAGGTGTATCACCACTTGTGTGGTGATCAGGTGGCTTCGTTGTTAGTGTCCCACCTGCGAGTTTCATCTAGACGGCAGTATGAAATTTCCTGGCGGTCCTTTCGGCATTTTTGTCTCATAGGTTGTCTTCGTTTCTGATTGGGTTGTTTTGTTCTTTCTCTCTTGGTTGTTTCAGGACCGTTATCTTACGCCAAATACTGTCGCCTCGTATCGTGCGGCACTTGTGCAATTACTCCATTAGTGATCCAAGGATCATATCAGTGGACCACCAGCAGGTTAAGTGGTCTAGTTTCTTACTAGAGCTCTAATCATGTAAACTTTACCCTTAGTCCATCATTACACCGTGATTCCTCCTCAAGCGACAAGTACGTCCACAGGGAATTTTTTTTATTCCTTCCATTAAATCATAATGATATAATTTATTGTGTGTAAACAATTTTTACACCACATTAGGTTTCGAGCGTGTGTTAAGCAGCCAGAGTGAGACAATTTCCCACGTTATGCCATCGGGTCACGTGTTCCAGCAGGTTCTAGATGATGCCATCTCACCACCACGCTTCCGTTCACTGTCACAGCTAAGCAGCTGAGATTATTTTAATTTATTCATTGCTTGCTTAAGAATAGTTGAAACCTAATAATATCTTAAAATTATATTTCATTTATGTGAGCTAAGAATTCAAGTATATTTCTATAGCCTCATGAACTTTAGATAGGAACAATTTTCTTATCTAACCACTATTTTAATATGTTCTTGTTACTAACCAAATTATCAAATGTTTATACCAATTACATCTCTTAGTAAATTTTACTAATTTTATTAGAGGAAGAACCAGCCTCGATGAAGTGTCAAGGAGTAGCTCAGCTTCTAGTATTAACCCCCAATTGTGAAGTTTGGGAAAGTTTAACTCTTGAATAGTAATTTATCTTACAGTCCATTAATATTCAATAAATAATTCTTCATAATTACATTATCCACAGGCACTGGTATCTCAGTCCTATTTCATTGCTTTATTTGTTTCCCTTTTCAGTAAAAATAGGGTGGTCCTACGAGTAATTCGAATCAATCAATTAAATATCAATATATTAAGAGCTAGATTTCCTTCACGACACAAATTTGTCATGGAGGGATCACGGTGTAACAATGGACTAAGGGACTAAGGTTTACATGATTAGAGCTCTAGTAAGAAACTAGACCACTTAACCTGCTGGTGGTCCACCGATGCGATCCTTGGATCGCTAATGGAGTAATTGCACACTCCAGGGCTGATTAATAGCAAGGGCCAATCGTGTAGTTGACGAAAGTTTCACCTCTATCTGTACGTATTGCTGCCACGTTGTATATGGCGTCGTCCACACCCCATGAATCTGGCGTCTCCCTCCTCCTCCCTCAACCCCTCTCTCACGCATGCGCAACTTATTTTAGTAGAAATGGAAAATGCTTTTCCTTGTAATTACTTTGCTTAATAAGTTAATGAGAATAGGGTCGCAATTATAGGGAGTTATATATATTGTTAGGTAGCTCCGTGGAGCCGAAGGGCCTCTACACAGAAAACCAGCTTTGTATGTAATGAAACGCCATTTTCTGGGTGAGACCCGGAGGCTCCCTGGCATCCCTCCCTCCCGGTAGGCGGTTTTTCACGTTTTTGATGCTTGGCCTCTGAACTGGGGAGAGTTGCCAGTGTGGAGGTCTGGGACCCCCCCTCGTTCCCCTCCCGGGGATGGGGGGTTGCGCAGACGGATGTGCATCGATTGTGGTGACGTCATGTTTGTTCCCGGTTTTTGATTGGGGAGTTCTGTTTGCTTTTTTGTTTTTGGTTTGCAATTTTTTTGCCCAGCAGTAGTTTGTTTTGAAATTCCTACCTTTCTGGGTGCCTGACCTGGTAGATGGCAGACAAAGACTACTTCCAATTACATGGGGATGTCTTTAGGCCATTGCTCCTCGTGCCTCTCTTGAGGGGGCCAGGTTCTGGCTCTGGTCCCCTGTAGGCTTAGAACTCCTTCGATTGACTGTTGCCACGGTCTAATATATACACATCAGCCCGGTATAGCTCCGGGGAGCCTCCGGGTCTCGCCCAGAAAATGGCGTTTCATTACACTCAAAGCTGATTTTTTCATATTGTATGTGTCCCAAAAGTATTGGTTTTATGAGGATTTTTGGTAGCCCGGAAATGCATTTCCCATTTATAGTAAGTATTACGCCTATAGAAAATCTTGTTTCCGAATAAATGTTTTATGACCACGTTCTCGGAATGTAACTCGTTTGTAGTAAGGGACTACCTGTATTACTAGTGTGTGATCATGATGGCTTTCTGTATGCGATGTGCCATTTACGGTACAGGTATGGTGATTGGATGGAGTTTTTTTCTATTTTGGAGGAGGGCGGTATCTTTGTTTTTCATTTGCTCTTCTATTTAATCAAAGCTGATGCCTCCCTACTCCATAATAGTGAGACATGGGAAGATGGTCATTATGAGTTTTAACTTGGTACAGTGGAACCTCGGTTTACAAATAACCCAGATTAAAAATTTTTTGGTATACAAAGTAAATTTCCTCTAAAATTTGACTCGGTGTACAAAGTTTGCCTCGGAATGCGAGTGTTTGTTGATGCGTGTATGGGTCGAGTGGGTGGGTTCTGCTGGGCATGGGGCAAGACACGTTCAGTTTACCAGTGTATCCCGCCTAGTGATGACTGCTCTTGAATTCTTTGTGAAGAATTATATTGGTTTTCTGCTTTTTTTGGTTTCTGAACATAAAAGTTCTTATTATATATTATGCCATGGGTTCCAAGAAAGTCAGTGGTAAAGTTCAACCTAAGAAAATAGTTGTGAGGATGACGATAGAGGAAAAGCAAGAGATCATAGCTGTAGCTGGCCGTTGTATTAACCTTTTTAATGATAATGTGATGTCTCGCTACAGACAAGTGTTAAAATGTAGGGAAAAACAAGTGTCTAGAGACTATTAGTAAGACAAGCAAGCAGTGAGCCACAACCAGGTCCTAATGGTATGCCTTCAAAACAGAGAGAATACCCCAGAAATATCATCACTGCCTGATGTTATAATGGAAGGGGGGACTCCTCTTCCAAACACTAACACCTCTCCTTCTTCCTCCCCCTCCCCCCCCCCCTTCCTCACTGTCTTCCATTTGCCAACAAGAGTCCTGAATAAAAGTTAAGGTATAGTAAAAATTTGAGTAGTGTTCTTAAAATGTATTTTTAAGTTAATTTTTTGGGTGTATGGAACAGATTAATTCAATTTACATTATTTCTTATAGTAAAATTTGTTTGTTTACAAATTGTTGGTGTAAACCGTCTCTTGGAACAGATTAAGTTTGTAAACCAAGGTGTCACTGTACTTTGTCCAATAATTACAGTATTACTTTTATTTCTAGCTAAAGTAATTAGTCTATCATTTTATGTGATTTTCAAATGTGAAATTACTCAGCCTTTAAAATGGAGTAATTTCTGTTTGTGAATTAGAGCATGTTCACAATGATTCACATTAAGGTCCATATCTGATTTTTCAGAAGGATCTCAAGCAGTATTTGTCAAGCCTAGAGTGCACAACATCGACCAGCATAAGTAATCCTGCATCTCGGCTCCTGAAGCGGAGAATTGCCTCGGTAGCAGATTATATATCATGTCAGTCTCAGGTGAACTTCCTGAAGGCCTCCATACTGAAGCTCTTACTCCTGGAAGAATTTGTGTTAAGTACTGGAGTCGAGTGGGAAGGGAGAAATATGACGTGGGAGGACAATGACGATTTTATATTTGAATATTCCACATCAGATGTAGCTTATTTGAATGCCTTTATCAGAGTTCTGCAAACATTTGGGCCATTTCCTGTTGAGAGAGCTGTGATTTCATTTGATTTTCAGGATACTGATGATATGAAATCAGTACTTCAAGCACTATTTAGTAGTTGTACAAAGATAAAAAGCATTCATCTTGCCGGGAAATGTGTTCATCTAGTTGCATTAAGTAAACTCAAGTGCTTTTCAAAGCAGTTGGAAGAACTGGTAATGATAGATTCATTTGGATCTTTAACCAAAGATGTATTTTGTGTATCTCTGTTAGGTAGGCCATGGATAGAATATATATCTAGTCATGATGGTAGATATAGTTGTTTGGAGCCTCAGTTTCCTGCTTTAAGGCATTTGTGGTATCAAAGACAAAATTCACATCAAAATTGGAATGATAGTTTGATAAAAACAGCAATCTTAACATACTATCCAAACCTTAAAACATTAAACTGGCGTGTAAATGACTTCAATCACAATTATGCTCTTACAAAAATCCCCGGGCTCAGTGGTAAGCAATATAATTTAGAAAGCTTATTGTTAACTACTGTCGATCTCTCGGACTTGCACAGAAATTCAGTAACTGATAGATTAATTTGCAGCGTGGATGTTATGTACTTGCCTCAGCTATTTCCCGGCCTGCAAGATGTATCTGTAATATTTTCAAGAGGGACAGACTGCCAGTGCTCACGTTCCGAGCTCAAGAGTCCTTGCAAAACAAGGGCTTCACAGAGTATAGAAACTCTGGACAATATAATGCTTGCTTGTAGAAATATAGAATCTCTCACTGCTGTTGGTGATATTGTACATTTAGAATCTATTTTGCATCCTGTTCTAAGTCATCATGGACACAGATTGAAATCATTAGGATTAAGGCTGCATTCTACAGCAACGACGACACAACAACATATTATATCAATTGCTTCCCTTTGCCCTGACTTGGAAAACATAACAATCACAGGAAGTGCATCTTATGGAGGTATTATATCAGGATCTCATACACACAATAAATGGCCAAAAGTGAAGAACTTGCAGTTGATGCTTAATGTTATGCAACCAGAGAATGTAGAGTTAATACGGATGCTTTTGTCTGCTTGCTGTTTTGTGGAAAGTTTATGTATCGGAATTTTAGCCATCGACAATCTCTGTGCCATTATTAGTGAACATAAAACTGAAAATATTGAGGTGCTAATTTTGCCAGTGTTAGACGATATATCAGATGTTGATATTGATGATCATTTGTGTGTGATCCTAAAGCACTGCCCGAAACTGCATTATATTTATGTGCCGAGAAAACTCAAGAGGTGGAGACTTTTGCAAGAGAAGTTGTGGAATCGTGGCATTGCTGTGAAATTTACAGACCTTCTAGCTAGTGGATTATAGATCAATTTTATGAAATTATGATAGTGAATATTTTTTTAAACATTTGTGATATTTCTCTAAATACTGTAAAGTGATAATTTTTTTTTTTTTTTTTTTGGGGGGGGATTGGTTATACAGGACTTTATTATTAAGAAATGACTGCAAAGTAATGTACATACATGAATATATATATGATTATTTTATTTTATTTGTTAACCCCAAAATTAAAACTTTAAAATTGTATAGTTCCTCTTCTGTATCATTATTTATTTTTGCACAGTGAAATCCCATTAACGTGGTGTATCAATGAGAAAATCAGTAGGAGCCGTGAGGAGGATTTGAACCCTCTCACTTGGTACAGAGAGAATATATAGGAACTGGATGAAAGACCCACTTGCATACCAGAATCAGATAAAATTACACACTGATAATCTAATATTCACCAGGAAAGAAAGAGATATTTAACATCCAGTATCTACCTCTCGTGGGAAAGAGTGATCATGTTCTGCTGGACATTAAATATGTTTTGAGATATAATCTAAAAGAAAATGGATGAATGTTAAACTCAATTTCAAGAGAAGACACTATGGGGAACTTTGATTTTTTTAAATGAGTGTAATTGGACAGATTTGTTGCTAGGCAAGGAAGTAAATGAGATATATATGATGTTTAACTGTGATAAATTCCAGGTACTCAGATACGGCAAAAATGAGGATCTTAAACATAATACAGGGTACAAAACACAATCGAATCCGCCCATAGTAGGAAAACGGCATGTCAAGGATTTGGGAATAATGTCAAACGACCTAACGTTTAGGGAGCATAACCAAGCAAGTATTGCGTCAGCCAGAAAAATGATAGGATGGATTACGAGAACCTTTAAGTCCAGAGATCCCATCACAATGGTTGTACTCTTCAAATCACTTGTGTTGTCCCGTCTTCAGTACTGCTCAGTACTCATTTCCCCCTTCAGAGCAGGAGAGATTGCTGAAATTGAGGGAATACAGAGAACATATAACGGCACGCATAGACGAGATAAAGCACCTAAATTATTGGGATCGTCTCGAAGCTCTCCAAATGTACTCACTAGAAAGGAGACGAGAGAGATACCAAATAATATACACATGGAAAATACTGGAGGGACAGGTCCCAAATCTGCACAGTAAAATAACAACGTACTGGAGTGAACGACATGGAAGAAAATGCAGAATAGAACCAGTGAAGAGCAGAGGTGCCATGGGCACAATCAGAGAACACTGTATGAACATCAGAGGTCCACGGTTGTTCAACCTCCTACCAGCGAGCATCAGAAATATTACAGGAACAACCGTGGACATCTTCAAGAGGAAACTAGATTGTTTCCTTCAAGGAGTGCCAGACCAACCGGGCTGTGGTGGGTATGTGGGCCTGCGGGCCGCTCCAAGCAACAGCCTGGTGGACCAAACTCTCAAGTTAAGTTTGGCCTCGGGCTGGCTTGGGGAGTAGAAGAACTCCCAGAACCTCATCAACCAGGTATCAACCAGGTATGCCAAACTTTGCAAAATATACAATGAAGGCACACAAACATTCTTACCAAAACAGAGATGCAGGACCAGAAAACAGGATTGGTTCAACAGAAATTGTGAGAGGACCAGAGACTAAAAGACTCAAAAATGGAATCAGTATAGGAAGAGGCCAAACCTCCAAACATTCCAGGGATACAAAGATGCGAGAAACAACTACACGACAGTGAGGAGAGAGAGGCAGAAAGAAATTTTGAAAAAGGGATTGCGGACAAATGTAAAACAAAACCAAGTCTATTCTATAAATTCATAAACAACAAATTGCAGGTAAAGGATGATATTCAGAGGTTGAAAATGGGGAAATATATTCACAGAAAATAATAAGGAAATCAGTGAAACATTAAACAAAAAGTTTCAAAGTGTGTTTATACAAAAGGAATTCTTCAGGGAACCAGACACAATAAGATTTCCAGAGAACAACATAGAGGTGTCTAGAGACAGGAGAAAAAAGGCTCGAGGAGCTAAGAAAGAACAAAAGCAGTTGGCTCAGATGGAGTTTCAGCATGAGTTCTGAGAGAATGTGCACCCGAACTCAGCATTCCACTTAAACTGATTTTTCAGGTGTCCCTGTGTACAGGAGTTGTAGCAGATGTGTAGAAAAAGGACAGGTTGTTCTGGAAACTGGGACATATTGGAGGGGGAGGTGACAGGTAAGCTTCTAACATAGATGAATTTTTTTTATCTAATTGATTACTGCCCTCATTTTTCTATCGGATAGAAAAATGAGGGCAGTACAGTAATCAGAGTAAGTGTATCAGACTGGAGAAATGTCACAAATGGAGTACCACAGGGTTCAGTTCTCGCACCATTAATGTTCATTGCCTACATAAGCGATCTACCAGATGGAATACAGAATTATATGAACATGTTTGCTGATGATGCTAAGATAATAGGGAAGATAAGTAACTTAGATGATTGTTCTGCCCTTCAAGAAGACCTGGACAGAATAAGTATATGGAGCACCACTTGGCAAATGGACTTTAATGTAAATAAATGCCGTGTTATGGAATGTGGAATAGGAGAACATAGACACCACACAATCTATGAATTATGCGAGAAATCTTTAAAGAATTCCGATAAAGAGATCTAAGGATGGTTCTAGATAGAAAACTATCACCTGAGGATCACATAAAGAACATTGTGCTTGGGGCCTATGCTACACTTTCTAACTTCAGAATTGCTGTTAAATACATGGATGGCAAAATACTGAAGAAATTGTTCACAACTTTTGTTAGACCAAAACTGGAATATGCAGCTGGTGTATATCATATCTTAAGAAGCACATCAACAAACTGGAAAAGGTGCAAAGACATGTCACTAAGTAGCTCCCAGAACTGAAAGACAACAGCTACGAGGAGAGGTTAGAGGCATTAAATAAGCCAAACCAAAAGATAAAAGAAAGAGGCGATATGATCACTAGTATAAAATAGTAACAGGAATTGATAAAATTGATAGGGAGGATTTCCCGAGACCTGGAACTTCAAGAACAGGTCATAGAATTGAACTAACTAAACGAAGATGCCAAAGAAATATAAGAAAATTCACTTTTGCAAACGGTGTCGACGGTTGGAACGAGTTAGCTAAGAAGGTGGTGGAGGCCAAAACTGTCGGTAATTTCAAGGCGTTACATATGACAGTGCTGGGAAGCTGGGACACCACGAGCATAACTCTCATTCTGTAACCACATTTAAGTAATTGCACCACAACAGAGTTACAACTACGACAGGCAGCAACTCTACAATAATCAGTACTGGTCTGAACAAATCAGGTATTTCCATGCATAATGGACCTGCCAGAAAAGTCTCCCAGTCAAACTACTCCAAATAATGTAACCTCGTTCATCTTTGCCAACATACAAGGACTAAAAACAAGAGCAAAAACACAAAATGTCATTCATAACTGGCCTCTTAACAGAGTCAAATGCAGTATTTTATTTGGAGCTTTTAACAGAAACCTATACAGGGAAATTCTTGGACAGTGAGATCTGGATACCAGAATATAATCTATACAGATGTGATAGGGTAAATAGATCACGTGGAAGAGTGGGCCTGTATATTAGAGAAGACCTTTTATGCTCGGAGCTTCTTAACTTTATACATGAGGTGGTAGAAGTACTGGGAGTGAAAATAGAGAAAATAAACTGTTATTTTTCTAATATACAAACTGTCAGATGCAACCGCTGAGGAATTCACAGAACAGATAAACAAAATAGAGAATTGCCTCAATAACTTGGCAAACTCAATACCTGATATCTTCTTAGTTGATTTCAACCTGCCTAGTCTAAGATGGAGAATAGCAAATAATAATAATAATAATAATAATAATAATAATAATAATATACCAGGAAATCTATCTGGACATAACCAACCATAGATTAGAGAACTACTTAGATTCTGTGACAAATTTTCACTTGACCAGCAGATAAGAGCTAACTAGGAACGAAAATATTCTAGATCTGGTCTTCACAAACAATGAAGACTAATCGGGAACATTACAATCTCGGATACCACATGCTCCAATCACAAGCTCATTAAAGTGCAAACTAACATCAATACTCGTAACAGACCTAAAACAATGATCAAGCGAGAGGGGTTATTCAGCACATTAAATTTTTAATAAAAAAAGGAGAGAGACTGAGAGAAAATAAACAGGGAACTTAGAAACATTCAATTAGAAACTGTTCTAAGTAATAAAAATCCTCTACAAGGAATAGAACAACTGACTTCTGAAGCATATAAAGTCTGTCTGAAACATGTTCCTTTGAAAAAAGCCAGAAGAGGTAAAACGTAGAAAGAACGCAAACGACACTACAAAAGGACAAAATAACGGAAATTCTTTCGCAGACACTGCTTTCCCTACAAAGAAAGAGTAATTTAAACAGGGAGAATGAAGAAATCGAGCTAAGACTGAAGCTCTCATTTCAGATTAAAGAAATGCAACTAGAACAGAAAGGGATTTAATCTGGGATTCCACTGAATTCTCTAAGGGTCCTGAGGCTTCCAACTGAAGCCCAGTCAAGGTTTCACACATTGACCCTCATGCATTCTGGCTGTGGTCCAGTAGTTCTACCTTCAACGCTTCTATTTGACAAGGTGTCAAGGTGACAAGGTTATCAGATGAAGCACATTGATACAGTACATCTGATATGTATCAGGGTCCTTGAACCATCAGGACCCCTACAGTATTCAGTGGAATCCCAGGACAAATCAAAGCTTTTACCATGTTGTGGTCTAGGGTGTTTGCTTGGAAGTACCATGTGAGAAGGTTCGAATCCTCATGGCTCATACTGATTTTCTCATTTTTTATCTTAAAAGTTATTTTTTCTTTTTGATATCTCCTTCCTATGTCAGGTTACCTTGAACCTTTTGCATGCACTCTGACATTTTATGTAAAGTTACACCTTGTGCCAGTTTTCCTGCACCACCCTTACCAAATAACAGCTTGTATGGCATTGTTCATAGTTCATGATTTCAGTGTAGAATAAAAAGAAAATGTTTATAACCAAAATGTATTTTCTATCTTTTGACATGAATGTCCAAAATACTGTAACTTTATTTTGACTCAAAGTATTTACAGCCAAAATAATAATGTGAGAAACCGTTTGTTTTGGCTGCACTTTAAACATTTTTGGGTGGAGTATTGTTGTTGTGTTTGTCAGACTTGCACAAGACTTACGTTGTTTC